CTCTAGGAAGGTTTAGTCGGGACTGGCCGAAACTAGGACTATATTTGATCGAATAACATGCTTTCTTGTAGAGGCCAGTCAACGCTGTTTTGAATGTCATGAAGTACCTAATCCTCAGACCTGTTTGCGTATCGCTGAATGTGGTGAGCATGAAGTACGTTGTATTTTCATAGAATGGTTTTATAAAAGATATTATGTAATATAACCACGATAGCTTTATCTCCAACATACAGAACGGATAAGTTTGAGTTTCCAGATTTTCGAGTAAATAATGTTCAATGTATTTAGGGTGGGTATTTAAAAACGCCCGAATATTAGTACTCAGTGCAACAATTTTTTTGTTAGTGGACAGTATGTCAGTGCATCCCCTCACGTAGACCTCCACATTTACATCTCTAGACATTTTCTCGCTCTTATTATCCAATTTATTAACTCATTTATTATTCACTTTTTTCGTATGTTGTTCACACTCTGGAAATCAATCGCTTCCAGCCACATGTGGGGATTAATATTGAAAATACCACATGGAGCTAACTCCGGTTGTGTGGGGCATATGGTTCGGGTCCTATGAGCCTTTCAAGAAGTAGTATACGGTCTACGATTTATGCTCTGATGCGTTGACATGCAGCAAATGGATATCGCAGCTACATATGTTTGTGCAGGTGGTTTGGTGGTGTTCACAAGTCTTGGAATGCTTTGGAGACATGGAAATGCACGTACGGTTCTTTCGACAGTCCAATTACGTCAAGCGATGCTTAGTCTCTGCATCTTTCATCACCTGTTACAATCTCATCCAAATATATCCAGTCATTCTTTTCTTAAAATGATAGTTGGCGAGTTATTGTTTGGCGGCTGCTGTTTTCAGCCGTCAACAAAAAATGGAACTTATCTTCTATTGATATTTCTGAGCTTCAATTGACTCTTCGATGTATAAAAAATAACTGATACAATAGTTTCTGTGATATAATATTTTCCATCATCTTGATTAATTCAAACAGTACCCCCGCCCACTTAAAGCGACCACTCCTAAATTATCAATTGTAGATAACAATCTTCCAGAGCAGGGATCGTTTATTATTAAATCATTATCATATTTAAAAGAACAACATTACTTCAATATTGTTGGATATGACAAAGAATTTCATCCGTCGGCCTTGATAGCTAATAGTGTGTACACTAAAAGCACACGGATTTTTCAATATGCCTCTGGATCAGTATATAACAAATTTTAGGTATGTTTTCCTCCACTTCTACGTTACTTGCATATATATCTGCATGCGTCCAGTTTGCTGCAGGTGCAACTTATTTTATGAAACACTATTTCTATGTATGTATGTATGTATGTATGTATGTATGTATGTATGTATGTATATATGTATGTATGTATGTATCCATGCATATATGTATGTATGTTTGTATGTCTGTATGCGTGTATGTATTTTTGTCACGTCGGCATTATCTCTATCTTTCAATCTGTCTATCAATCTCTCTGAAAAAGGCATTGCAAATAAAATAAAGTTTTGAGCTACCTATGTTTGAGGCAATGATTTTCTGTATTAATAATTTTCTTATTATCATAGTAGTTAATGTTTGATAGATCAAAGTCTTACAATATTCATGTATGTGAAAACTTTTATTTGGTTTTCGGTTTTGCTTCGAGCTCACTTGGCATGCTTTTGATATTTATGAGAATTGAAATTACTATATGAATGAGGACGATAAACATTTTGACTGCTCTTTTTGATTAATTCCTTGCAAAATACATAAATGATGCCATCCTAATTTTACCTTTTGTGTATACTGGTGCGGCTCTACTAATTTCTAGTCTTTAACTCGTTCTGGCTCTAAGTTTTAACATCAACAATTTGAGTAGGTACAATGATCCCTTTATAAGCTCCAAACATTCCTTCTTGTCCATGAAAACTATTAATTCATCCACAATGATATCAAATATATCATAACATTATTTTTGCTTCTTTTTGCAGCAATGTTTCGTAGAAAGCATTGTCACCACATCTGGTTCCCTCCTGTACAATGTCGGTTGCATAACCAAAGAGGTTGGAATTTATTATTTACATTGGCACCCATTTGTCTAAATTTTACACGTTCTTAACAAATTGGCTTGTTATATCTTCATACCAATAGGTTCACCATATTACTGAGTACACCTTAAATAAGACATCTTAATGTTTTAACAAATGGGTCTTATCACTGTGCACATCTTGAACAATATCTGTTTAGATTTGTAGCAAATGGGTCTTATCAATGAGTATATCTTGAATGAGACCTGTTTAGTGTTGTAATAAATAGGTCTTAACTCTGAGTACATCTTAAATGAGACCTGTTTAGTGTTGTAAAAGAATGGGTCTTATCACTGAGTACATCTTGAATGAGACCTGTTTAGTGTTGTAACAAACAAATGGGTCTTCACACAAAGTACACCTTGAATAAGACCTGTTTAGTTTTGTAACAAAAGGGTCCTATCACTAAGTACATCTTGAATGAGACCTGTTTAGTGTTGTAACAAAAGTTTCCTATCACTGAGTACATCTTGAATGAGACCTGTTTAGTGTTGTAACAAATGGGTCTTATCACTGAGTACATCATAAATAAGACCTGTTTAGATTTGTAGCAAATGGGTCTTATCACTGAGTACATCTTGAATGAGACCTGTTTAGTTTTGTAGCAAATGGGTCATATCACTGAGTACGTCTTGAATAACCTGTTTAGTTTTGTAGCAAATGGGTCTTATTACTGGGTACATCTTGAATGAGACCTGTTTAGTGTTGTAACAAAAGGGTCCTATCAGTGAGTACATCTTGAATGAGACATATTTAGTGTTATAACAAATGGGTCTTATCACTGAGTACATCTTGAATGAGACCTGTTTAGTGTTGTAAAAAAGGGTCCAATCACTGAATACATCTTTAATAAGACATGTTTAGCGTTGTAACAAATGGGTCTTATCACTGATTACATCTTGAATATGACCTGTGTAGTGTTGTAACAAAAGGGTCCATTCACTGAATACATCTTGAATAAGACCTGTTTAGTATTGTACCAAATGGGTCTTATCACTGAGTACATCTTGAATAAGACATGTTTAGTGTAGTAACAAAAGGTTCCTATCACTGAGTACATCTTGAATGAGACCTGTTTAGTGTTATAACAAATGGGTCTTATTACTGAGTACATCTTGAATGAGACCTGTTTAGTGTTGTAACAAATGGGTTTTATTACTGAGTACATCTTGAATGAGACCTGTTTAGTGTTGTAACAAAAGGGTCGATTCACTGAGTACATCTTGAATAAGACCTGTTTAGGGGTGTGACAAATGGGTCTTATCACTGAATACATCTTGAATAAGACCTGTTTATTTTTGTAACAAATGGGTCTTATCACTGAGCACATCATGAATAAGACCTGTTTAGTGTTGTAACAAATGGGTTCTATCACTGAGCACATCATGAATAAGACCTGTTCAGTGTTGTAACAAATGGGTCATATCAATGAGTACATCTTGAATGAGACCTGTTTAGTGTTGTAACAAAATGGTCCTATCACTGAGTACATCTTGAATGAGACCTGTTTAGTGTTGTAACAAATGGGTCTTAACACTGAGTACATCTTAAATGAGACCTGTTTAGTGTTGTAACAAATGGGTCTTATCACTGAGTACATATTGCATAAAACCCGTTTTGTGTTGTAACAAATGTTTCCTATCACTGAGTACATCTCGAATAAGACCTGTTTAGTATTGTAACATATGGGTCTTATCACTGAGTACATATTGAATAAGACCCGTTTAGTGCTGTAACTAATGGGTCTTATCACTGAGTACTTCTTGAATACGACCTGTTTAGAGTTGTAACAAATGCGTCTTATCACTGAGTAGGCCTACATATTGCGTAAGACCTATTTAGTGTTGTAACAAATGGGTCTGTCACTGAGTACCTCTTGAATAAGACCTATTTAGTGTTGTAACAAATGGATCATAGCATTGAGTATATCTTGAACAAGAATTATATATATAGGTTGGTTGAGACAATGTATCTATGGGTTCAACTCATGTGGAAACATCCGTGTAGAGTTTTACAAACACAACGTTGTTGTGTTTATTGGCTTGTTTTGTATATGTTTTGTATTTGCCTTTGATAAAGACTCATTAGGACTCGAAAGCGCTCGGGCTAGTTAATTACTAGTTTTGCATACTTTTTGTCGTCAGTTTGTTGCATATATATATATATATATATATATATATATATATATATATATATATATATATATATATATATATATATATATATATATATATATATATATATATATATATATATATATATATAAGGCATTTACTTTACTATTTGAACCGCAATCAATTATTGAAGCTTGCAGATTTGGATTGCAGCTGTTTCTTAAACGTGAGTGTTTTATTTGTCTCTTTATGATGTCAAATGGTTGTTTCCATTACAGAAATGCTTAGCGAGAAAAAGAAGATCCGATTTTGACAAGAGAACTGACCTTGTCACGTGTTTAGAGTGTTGCAGCCAAGGAGATTTCTGTAATTTAGCGGGATGTGGACACAGTTGTGAGTATGAGGTCAAATAAGGAAATAAAATAAAACAACGAGATCTAGAACATCACGGATAATATGATATCAAGTGTTAAATAAATCGCCTATGAACAGACAAGTACGACTCTTGTACTACACATTAAACCGTGTGTGTGTGTGTGTGTGTGTGTGTGTGTGTGTATGTGTGTGTGTTTATCATTTGGATTTGAAACGTATCTTTAACAACTTTTTAGTTATATCGCTACGATGTCTGCAGTGTGGCAATTTATAGTCATGTCTAGCACTGAGGGATCATACCGCAGACGTGTAGCATGATGTTCCACTCATTCATGTTATTGTGACATCAGATCGACCAGTTCTGACACTAACCTCTGAATACAGAGCTCCTAACGGGGTAGCTATTAGTACTATTTTTATGTCTTTGGTATGACTCGACGGAGGTTCGAACCCGCGACCTCCCGCATCCGAGGTGGACTATCTAACCACTAATCTACCGGAGCGGTGTATTATATCAGTGTAATGGTGTATTTATAATAACATTTACATTTATAAACCTCAGTTTGTTTGCCTTATAAAGAAGGCTGATCCACTCTGCTGCACTCTATTTTAAAGTTTGCTTTATTTCCACATGATTTATGTCTCGTTTCTTAATTCGTTTTATGTAGAATTGGAAATACGATTGTTTAAAATGTAATCATATAGAAAATGACTTAATTCTTCACATATAAAACAATGTAAATTAACAAATCCGTGGAGACCATTTTGGAATATAAATAGGTACGCTGTGTGCCTTCAGAAGAATATAGAAATTGCGTTTAAAATTGCAGGTTAACCGAAAATGATCATAAACTATGAATTGTTTCTCAGCTTGTATTTAAAAAAGACAATTAATGTATACGATATTGCTTCATTTAGGTAATGTCTCCTGTAATTTAAGTAGCAACATTTCACAGCTATGATAATACACATTTTTAATTTAATTCTAAATCTTTAAAATAAATATTAGTTTGCACTGACCCCTTACAGATGAACCACTTGTAAACAAAGGACCTTATTGTTTTCACTGCGACGTTCAAGAAAACCAGCAGTCTTGCTTGGACGTTGTCATTTGCGACCAAGACGAAGTAAGTTGAAACAAAATCGTTTACTATAGAAACACCCACCACTCACCACATAAGTCCAGTAAAAATCAAATTCCATATCACCTTATTATGATGAAATATTTATGGCGATCGTATGATACTGTATGTTCAATCCATTTGTATAGGTTCTGACATTATAAGTCATATTAGTTTCAGATCCAGAGGCGACTACACGTGAGCAGCACTCCCCACTCCTATTAAAAATGCGAAATAACAGGAAAGTTTCCAAGTGTATTTTTTCTTCACAGTTACATATTAAAATTATCCATTGACAACACCTAAAAACAGTAGAGTTTGGGGTTTCATCTCCCTTAGCCTTTATAGTGAATATGTTTCTTCTCCGACAAACCCATTGCGATTTATTTACGGCCATCCAAGTCATCCAGTTTTCTTGAATCCGCCAATGTAAAATAAATGAAGAAAATAAATATAACATTTAGACTCTGTTTCTCAAAGACATTATGTGTTTAATGCAAACCCTTTCAATGCAACATAAGAAGAAGAGAACAATTATAAGAAGCAATCGCATACAATTGACGGGTGACATGCAAATTGACGACCAGTCACGAGTTCTTTTTAACTGACGGAAGATTGGTTATTAACTGATAATGGACACGAACTTTGTGAGTAAAACATTTCCATCCACAGAATCTCTTCTTTAGGAAAACGGTCATGACATAACATATGTTGTTTTAAAAATCTGCTTTATAAATGAATCAAAAGCTCTTTGGGAAAAGGTACGCGGTCGAACACCATCCTCGCGACCCAGGTTTTCATTTAAATGTTACCGAAAAATCAACAACTGAACTATTTATTTTTTAACTTTTTAAACTTCTTGCATTTCAAATGATACTTTTATGTGTATTTTATTTGACTGTTAATTCATGGGTAGTAGTGTTAAGAGACTTTGGCACATCCTTGCATTTCACTATGGTAAGGTATGGAGCAGCTAGATATCTACTCTCACCAGACTGTCCTCAGGAGAGAAGATAAGAGAGAGATGGCAGTCATAAGAGAGAAAAGAGCATGGATGTACGAGGTTTGGCCCCACTTGACCCACATCATAATAAGTCGTGTAGCATCAACTCTTGTATTTAATTCCGGGACCTCCTGACGGTTTGGTGGAATGCGGGATTGGCGGTTGCGGTAGCATAGCATTATGTGGGCGATGATTAACAACGTACCAATTAGAGCCGTGATGTGTTGATGGGATACCGTCATTGATAATGGCTTACTGAGATACTAATTCGTGCACCTGAACGCCGTGGGGTCCGACAACACTCTGCAGGAAGACATTAAGAGATATAAATATGGGATATGATTTCTTACCTACTGAAATGGATAGCAGAAAAATTGCCACCCATCGCATATGCAGCGAAAGGGGAATGTGCCACCAGGTAAGTTGCAAGGCTCAGAACGTAAGGCCTGTCGACAATATCAGAAAGTCCTTAGCGAGTTTACAGCCAAGTCCTATCCCACGTGTCAGCTACATACTACGGTCGTACTATTAGATAAAAGCTACGTATTGTAGAATATATAACGGCACATACAAGCCTGCATAGGTCTGCATTTGCGGCAGTCAACAACAACAAGCAATAATTTTCCATTTGCTCCGCAAGAAGTCGATCTATATAAGGAAAGGTCATCTTAGCACCAAGCTCTGCATGATAAATCGCGTAAATTTGTACCACTCAATTAACATGAATCCCTGCTATGAGTTACGGCTCGGCCAAGATATTCATTAGCTGCATTACCGGCAGACATTTCATTGAGCAGATCTCTCTACCAGATGTCGCCACCATACTCTTTCTCTGAGTGCGTGGGGACAAGATCCAGGTCTAACACACTATCAAGATCGATGTAACTAATCCGACAATTGTTGTTTGCAAGACGGGCTGCGTTAGCTACGACTCACTATCCTTTAATTAATTGACTCTAAGGTAGAACAGAGGTGACGGTCATTACAATTAAGGTACTCTCTCTCTCTCTCTCTCTCTCTCTCTCTCTCTCTCTCTCTCTCTCTCTCTCTCTCTCTCTCGATATATCTATATATATATATATATATATATATATATATATATATATATATATATATATATATATATATATATATATAGGGACATTAAGCGAGGACCTTTAGTTCTAAAATTATGACAAGAAAATCTTTTAGAGTAATGTTGGCCTTTGACTCATAAAAAAAACTCACAGCAATGTGTATTAGCCTCAGTTAGTATATCAATTTCTTCGTACAATCGTTTTCGTGTTGTAAGTGTCGTATATTTGTGGTTGGAAATGTTACAGGCTGAGACACAAAAATTAATAAATAACAATGAGATAAACGAACTCTAAAGTATGCAAACTTTAAACAATTTTATTGGAGGGTTCTTCAGTTCCTTTCAACCTTAAAGAATTTCTACTAAAGGAGCTTTTCCAAGATGGATAATAAAATACAGATAGTATATTATACATTATTTATCACAATCGTTTTTTTTTGGTCAAACACTTTAAATGGCTTAAAATAATAAATATCGTTAGTAATTTATTCATCCTCTACTCAAACTATGTTAGTCTTAGAACAAATCACTTTAACACCTAGTCCAGTCCATTTTATAGTGTCTTCCAGATTAAATTTTATGTGTATGCCCTGGTCTTTGAGTTTGCTATAACAAAAGGCAAAGGTTGTCCGTGGGAGAGATATATCTACTCATTCAGTTTGGTTGGAAAGAGAGACAAAAATACACCATACCCTTCAGGCAAAATCAAACAAATCATAGTTGATTTGTCCTGAATGTGGTCAAACTTGAGTATTGAACAAAGTGCCAACACCGTTAGCAACATCATCTGCAATAGACAGCTATAAATATCTCAATTAAAATAAAGGCTTGATCATAAAAAGAAAAGAACGGCCATGGTGACGTATAGTGATTATACAATTCCTTCCTGTATATATAATGAGTATACAGTTTTTTCATATATATATATATATATATATATATATATATATATATATATATATATATATATATATATATATATATATATATATACTGAGCAAACCATTCCTTCCTACGCAAATATATGATACCTGTGTTACTAGAATAGTCACTAACGCTTTCAATATAAGCCAAAGTGAAAGTATACTGTACTTCAATTAAATATTTATTAAATAGGTGTTCTCGGATTGAACTCTTCCTGTAGAGTTGATCCTGATCTTTCTCCATACACTCTCTCGTGTTAATCTAGTCTCACAGAAATATAAACTGTCTTGACAATATACCTGTGACTGACACGGGAATATCACAGAATTGAGATTATTAGGACAAGACCAAGTTAAAAAAGATAAATATGATTTCACCAGAGAAACTCGAACAGTATAATTCATTATTGATGTTGAACCTCGCTACACATAAGGTCGTATATGCCTTCACTTATTGACTCATGGAACAATCTTCCGCAAACCACAACAAACTGTCCATCTAAAATAACCTTTAAAAAAATTACCGAGCGCCAAATGCTTTGTCCCATTTCCAGAAGGTAACATAACAACAAAGTTTTTAAATCTTAGTTAGTCATTTAGGACAAGATGTGGTAGTTTGGTACGGTACAGATGAATGCCGAAGAGATACAATCTATAATTAGCATGGGAATAACTTCTTCTCCCTCTCCACCCCCACCCCTAAAACAAAAAAAAACAAACAAAAACCACACGAAATCCAATGTACATTAAACATCTGAGACAACTGGGTGTATTAATTCGGTCCATTTTCAATATAGGTCATTGCGTCGTATCCATCGAACTGACTGTACTTTATAACACCTGTATCTCCTACTTCATACTTATATCCATCCTTTCATTTATTAAATTGTGTTGATAAAGTTTTTCTTACACCGACAATTTTATAGGTCAGCCCTAACTCCTAACTGGTTCAGATACATACATACATACATACATACATACATACATACATACATACATACATACATACATACATACATACATACATACATACATACATACATACATACATACATACATACATACATACATATATATATATATATATATATATATATATATATATATATATATATATATATATATATATATATATATATATATATATATATATATAGCCTTATATACGGTTCATAATCTAACTTTCTAAGTTACAAGCAGTGTTAATTAGGTTATATTAGCAATCACTGCTGCCGTGTGACAGGTCGGTTAGGTGTGGCGCATAGGTCGGTAGAGTGCGGGTTAGGTCACTTAGGTGTGGAGTGGTTGTAAGGTCAATTAGATAAGTACGTTTACATGACCTTACAAAGTGTTGAATACAAAAGAATGACATCAAACTGGT